ACCGAAGTATAAAGAAGAGCTTGTCACCTAAAACTAGACCGTCGGCAAATACTGCAAGGGACACCCACAGGGCCAGGCCCTTCAGAGACCCCAGATCCGGGTCACATGACCCAGCATGTGCCCCCCACCCCCGACCCCCACGGGGAGCAGAAGATGGGTGGGAGCCACCACGGGGACGTGTGCCCCTCTCCACGTGGCGCGCACCTGGCGACCTTGGGGGACACTGTCCCCAGCAGGGACCAGGCACCAGCTCTGCTGGGCTTCACAGGGACACGCTGCCCAGTGACGAGGCCGCCGACAGGCGGATAGGGCAGCGTGGTCTCTGGCTTTCAGCCACAGCGAGGAAAGGCCCCCCCACACACACCCCCCGGGAGTGCACCCGACTCCTCGCCCAGGATGTGCACCCTGGTACTTGACTTAGAAACGCCAGCCCCGGGGAGCGGGGAGGAGGGTGCACCCCAGCTCCCTGCGCTCAGGCAATGACCGCACGCGGCTCCCGAGCTCCCTCCTGGGCTCCCACAACCGATCCTTTAATGGGCGGCCGGTCTTGGCTGACGCGGGCGGCTGCGGGGCGTCACGCCGAGGCAGAGTGGACGTCCTGGTTCTCGAACGGGGGCAGCGGCTCCCGCCAGAAGGTGAAGTCACTGAACGTGTCCGAGCAGGGGAAGTCCGAGGAATGGCTCCTCTTCAGCAGCGGGAAGACGTGGTCAACCACTTCACAGAGCCTCACGTACCTGGAAGGACACGGCAAGGTCACCGCCTGCGAGGGACGCCAGCCCAGGGCAGCACCTGCCACGCTCCCCGCGTCGAGCTCAGAACCAGGAGAGACCCCCGGGCCTGAGGCCTGACCCCGGGGCTAATGCTGCGGAGGGCGCTCTGGAATAGCCCTCACTCATCAGCAGGCGGCCGCAGGGAATGCCAGCAGGATGAGAGAAGGCCCCGGGAGAGGCGACGGGCCTGCCGAGGCACAAAGGACCCCGGAGGCGGAGCTGCAGGACAAGAGGAGTCAGCAGCGGAGGCCAGCGCCCTGCGGAGCTCACGTGTGCGCGTCTCGGGAGGGAATCAGCCTCTGGAGCATGGCGAGCCCAGGCCTCTGTGCGGTGGGAAGGCGCTGGGCCCTGGGCTAAGGACTCGGATTGGACCTTCCGCTGCCATGTACCAGCTGCGTGGTCTGGAGAAACGGATCCCACCCCACCCCCACCCCCCGGCCTTCCTGCTTGGAGCCTGGGCCCGGCTCTCCCTCCCTGGGCTCAGTTCCAAGCATGGACTTGAACTAGGCCCTGCTTCTCAGTGCTCCGAAACCAGGAGAGACCCACGGGCCTGAGGCCGGACCCCGGGGCTAACACGCTCTGGAATAGGCCTCACTCATCAGCAGGAGGCCACAGGGAGCGCCAGCAGGATGAGAGACGGCCCCGGGCGAGGCGACGGGCCTGCCGAGGCACAAAGGACCCGGGAGGCGGAGCTGCAGGATAAGAGGAGTCAGCAGCGGAGGCCAGTGCCGTGCGGAGCTCACGTGTGCACGTCTCGAGAGGGAATCGGCCTCTGGAGCATCGCGAGCCCAGGCCTCTGTGCAGTGGGAAGGCGCTGGGCCCTGGGCTAAGGATGCGGATTGAACCTTCCGCTGCCATGTACCAGCTGCGTGGTCTGGGGAAACGGATCCCACCCCCACCCCCTCCCGGCCTTCCTGCTTGGAGCCTGGGGCCCGGCTCTCCCTCCCTGGGCTCAGTTCCGAGCATGGACTTGAACTAGGCCCTGCTTCTCAGTGCTCCCTGCAGGCCCCTCACTCGCCGATTCTGTGATCCCCAAGAGTCCGGAGCATCTTCGTTTCCGTGGCCTGAGCTCCGAAAAGAAAGCTGCTGCGCTGACGCATTTTCAGGCTCCAGTGCCTCCCACCCGACACCGTGACCCGCCCGGGCCTCTGCACACCGAGCCCCTCGAGGCCACCGGGTCCCTCTCCAGCACCAATTTGCTGAGAACCCAAAGGGGCTTTCCCAACACCCGCCTCGAGGAAGCGGCCTGCCCCGAGGCATGAGATGACTTATTAGACAAGAAGGAGCGCCTGTGTCCAATCAAGGCCCTCCCAGGGCTTCTGAGAGCATGGAGCTCGCAGGACACAAAGCATCTCCCTTCACAGCGAGAGGCTGTCTTTCCTGGGGACTGAAGCCAATGTTCAGACCTCCTCCTGGCCCTGAGACCTACGCGTGTGAGATCTGTGGCCAGGGGAGGCGGTCGTACCCCGGGGAGCAGGTCACCGCTCACCAGCAGGGTGGGCCCGCCTCGGAACGCGCTGTCAAGGTCAAGAGTGAGTCTGCAGCCCCCCAGGCTGCCTCGTTCCAGGCCCCCCGCCCAGCCCTCTGCCTCCGGGAACGGCGTGACCACAACCCCGGGGGGAACCTGGACGATCACACAGCAGTGACTCTGTGAGATGGCGCTCGGGCCAGAATGCGCCTCATCCTGAAATACAGTGTCATGTGAGAGTCCACTTGGTTACCCTTTTAATTCGCCTTCTAGGCTTTTCGGCCCAACTTGGCAAATCAAAACCACTCGTTTTCAAATTCATGCAATTCCACTCCGGAGCAGCATGTAACCGCCGGTTTCAATGTTCCACCCAGAGGGGACCTGATTTAATCCAGATTGTCCAAACATTACGTTTTGGGCAAAAATAGAGGAGTGAAAGCATATTTTCCTTGCAGGGATTAAAGATTAAAATATAGGCAACCGAAGGACCCAAAGGAATACCGTGAACGGTAAGAGGCCACTCCCACACCACCCTGGCCACGGCGGCGGCCGCGGCGACCCTGGCCGGCGCGGGGACTCACGAGGAGATGTTGGTCTTGGCGTGCTCCTGCACCAGCTCGCCCTTGGGGTTGACGGTGAATATTCGGTTCAAAGACACTCCCACTTGCTTGTACGAATACACGTCCTACGGTGGGGAAAGGGTTGGGAAGGAGGAGTGCATTGTGAATACAGACACAGGACCTCCCCGAATGGATGCGATGCTGCGCCGTCTCATGAACCAGCCCTACGCTCCCCGCCCGTGTGGGAAGAGTGTCTGGGCGTGAGCGTGACACCAGCTTTCCCCTCTGGGCACCGTGCGGGTCTATGCAGCAAGGGAGTCAGAGGGCGGACCACCTGGCGGGCCCCCTGCACCCTGACATTCCTGAAGGTCGCTCTCTGGCCCGTCTTCTTCACACGTAGGAGAACTTTCTTACTGTGAAGTTACTCCCCGACTCGATTCTCTAACACTGAGCTTTCCAGCAAACAGGGGCAGCGACACCCAACCCCACGGGGTTTCTCTCACCGTGTGGAACAGCACGGCGGGCCCTGGTCCTCAGAGGACACGCTCCCAGGCCCCCAGTGGGTGCCTGAAACCTCGGAGGGTACCCAGCCTACAGAGGCCACACTGTCCCTGTGCACACGTACCTCTGGTTACGTGAACTTGGTAAGTGAGGCACAGGAACAATAACAACCCAGGATAACGGAGCAAGTGCAGCGGTGCATGGCAACAGGGAAAGTGGCGTGAACGGGCATTCTCAGTAAAAGGGGTGACCCGGCCCCCAGCACTGCAACACCGCACGCCGGTCTGACCACCCGACGGCTGAGTGACTGGCCTAATGCGAGAGGCGCATCCACAGC